CTGGTGTCCTGTCCAGGGTGTGTGAGTGTGTGTGTGTCCTGTGATGGACTGAAAAAATACAGGTGAGAAAATCCCACCTCTATCACAACTCCCCATCCATACCCACCTTCCTACTGTCAGACTGTGGATCCTGGAAAATCAGGGAAACGAAGTTGGGAGAGAACTTCTCACCATCACAACTCCTCACCCATACCCGTCTTCCCACTGTCAGCCTCTGGACATCCAGGAAAAGTAGGAAACAGACTGCAGGTGAGAGAATCCCACCTCCATCACAGCACCCCATCCATACCCGTCTTCCCACTGTCTTCCCAGTTGAGATCAAGCACATAGCAGAATTAAGGAGTCCGATCTGATTTTATACTTCGTATAAGATGCCGTATGGGAACGGCACATATATTTCTAATTACTGTGTGAGTGGATCCATATTGCGTCCACGAGAGGAAATGGTCTAAGGCTACCGTGTCCTTTAATGCTTATTGGGTGGGAATTCAACATTAATTAATAATCACAACAATTCCTTGCACCTATATTAGCGCGTTTCTGGACCCTCCCCTCTCCAGCTCTTCCCAGGTCAGGGGGATCCCCTCCAGCCCCCCCAGTGTGCAGCCCCCACCTGGATGATGCTCCAGTCCGCTCAGCACACAGCAGCTCTCAGTGGGGAGGAGAGCAGAGGGATGGAGCCAGTTCAGAGAGGGGGGGTGATTAGGAGGCCATGATGGGTCAAGACCAGGGGGGGAATCAGGCCAGGACACTGGGGTAACACCCCTACTCTTTTCCAGAAACACCCTGGGATTACGTAAAGAAGAAATTAAAATAGTTAAGGGCATAAACATACGGTGATTTAACAGAAGAGAAACCACACCAATAAGGGAACAGAACAAGGACAGCTGGAACATTATTAACATGACGAATATCACGCTGGGGGTCACAGAAAATAATGATCTTACCGTATGTGCAACAGGACTGTGCTGACCAGTTTCAAACAGATATTTTTAGATTCTCTGAAGAAGTACAAGATAAATTAATTCACAAACTCTTGAAGCACACAGACATTTGAAGCATTCGACATTTCCTTCTACGACTAACAGTAGTAACTCCTTACACTTCTGCAGCTCTTTCCTGGACCCTCCACTCAGAGCTCTTCCCAGGTCATGGGGATCCCCTCCAGCCCCACCTGGATGATGCTCCAGGACACCAGGAGTCTAACGTTACTGACACCTCGGGGACAACGGTCGTTAAGAAGAACACGGTCACTTTTATCTTTATGAATTTGGCCTGGTGTTTCTAATCTCTGGGATCAGTGACCCAACAGTGACAGGGGGTGGAGTTCAGCACAAAACAGCTGCATCTCCCTTCAGTCTAGACCAGTGGTTCTCAAACTTTTTGGACCAAATACCACCCCTAATCCAACCAAAGCATCCAAGTACCACCTACAAGTCATCATCTCATAGGAACCCACTGCTGCTTCTATTACTAGTCCATTTACAGAAACAAACACCACTGCTTCTCTTACTTGTGCTGCTAGTAAAAAATCAACACTGCTGCTTCTAATACTAGTACTTTTACTGAAAATATTACTCCTTGTATTTCTACTGCAGTTATGAAACATAACACTACTACTGTAGTGTCTATTTCTAGGGCTGCAACTGAAAATAATTACACTACTACATCTATTACTAGTTGTTACTGAAAATATCAACACTACTGCATCTAATTCTAGTACTGTCACTGAAAATAACTATACTACTGCTTCTAATTCTAGTGCTGTTACTGAAAATATTACTCCTTGTATTTCTACTGCAACTATGAAACA